ATCTTTATAGATTTAACTATTCTGGATTTCATATACAACCCCCCCCCCAAAAAAAAAAAAAAAAACTAACAACAATAACAAAGTAAAACAGATAGAAGCCTCAATTGAAAAAAAGCAGAAAATACTAAAAACTGGAGCAAATTTAAATGGACCCTAAGGGAGATCAGTTGTTAGGGTGCTTAATTCTAACCTCACTGCATCTGCAACAATCCACTTTCCGATGCATTCTGCACGTTAGCAAGGCTGTTCACAGCCCTGGTCCATGGTCAGAGGAGTCGCCAGGGGCTTAATCCATGTGTATTTCCCTCTCCCTTTAATTTTTTTAAATTGAACTAGCTTTGAAATGGGTCAAAGAGGAGCTCAAATGATAAGATACTACATTTTGTCCTATGTCTGATTTAATCAATTTTACAGTGCTCTCTGATAACGGTGATTCATATCCCTTGTCGTTATAAATCTTTACTCTAAAGGGCTTTTACTTAATCATTTCCTGTAGTCACTTTAGCTTCTCTACATCTAAGAACAAGTTTCAGAGCCTCTTCTGACAGCCACTCGGTCTTGTCTTTTCTCTCTTTGCACTGATATGTTGGCTCGTTTATATCTGAAAACCAGGGCTCGCCTGGTTTTCGGTCACAGTGTTCCATACGTCCAGTCTGTTCGTGAGGTGCTCTCTAAATTCAGTGGGAGATACCCAAAGACATATGTTGGCTGTCATGGACGTATTTTCATGTTCTTCAGCTTCAATCTGACTTTCCACACAAGCATTTGATGACAAGCTGGGTGGTGGGAAATGTGTCTACGAAAACAAAACCCTCACTGCCATCGAGTTAATGCCAACTCATAGGGACCCTGTGTAGGGCAAGGTCAAAGTGCCCCTGTGAGCTTTCAAGACTCTAACTCCTTGTGGGAATAGAAGTGGCTGGTGTTTTCAAGTTGCTAACCTTGCAGTTAGCAGCCCAAGACATAACCATTATGCTACCAGGGCCCCTTTAAACAAAGGCCACTCATCCTGTGTCCTCGCCCTCTTCCTCTCCCCAAAGAGAGAAGAGTCATCAATGACAAATGGCAGTTGCAGCAAAGCTGTACCTGTCAGTATACCACGTTCATCCAGTGGAGTGGAGAGTGAAGATCTTAGTGCCACTTAGTTTTATTTTCTTCTGAAACAACAGTCAGTAAAGTTGCGGCAGCACCAAGGACACTTTCTATACCAATAAAGTATGTTGGGGGTAGGGTAGGTGCAAGGACTTGGCTTTAGGATCAGAAAAAATTTCCCTTGGTCTGTAAGGAAATCTGCCCCTCCATGAAATTCTAGGAAGCTTACTCATGTGGAAAGCTGTAGTCTTTTAAGAATTAATTTTTTCCATAAACAAGTGAGATGCTAAACTTGTTGCCATCCCAGATGCCTCGCTGCCAGACAGAGAAGTGCCCTCTAATGAGGGCTGCGGGCTCTCCTCTTAGGTGGTATGTCTTGGTGAGCCTGAGAGGTGAGTCAGCCATTGTGGCATCTTAAGAGCCACCCTAAATCTCCACCTGAGTCTCAGCTTCTAATTATAGCACGAGGCCTTCAGGTCAGCACTGGCATGAGGCATCAAGACAGGCAGCGCCACTTCAGAGGGAGCCATTAAAAGTCCATAATCTGGAATGTTTGTGAAACCTCCTCACCCAGAGGTCAGGGGTTGATCCACAACTGCCTGCAGCTTCCCAGGAAGGGAGGAGTCTGTGAGAAGCACCAGATTGTGTACTTCTCTATTGGCTTTGTATAACCCACTTAGACTGATCCACACTCTGGCCAGGCGAAGCACCAGATTCTCTTGCTGACCATACACTCAACCGGTGTTTAGCTTGATCGGTAATTCCTATTAACATGAAATGAGAAGCCCCGTAAATGGTTTCAGATTTGACATCTGCCAAACCATAATACTGTAGACTCCTCTTTCCTTGGTATCAAACGAAGGAAGGTGGTCTTTATCTCTGTGCTGCTAAGTGCCATCAAGATGGTTCTTCTATAACAGAAGGAAGCATTGCCTGGTCCTGCACCATCCTCAAAATTGGTACTGCGTTTGAGCCCACTGTTGCAGTCACTGTGTCGATCCATCTTAGTGAAGCTCTTCCTCCTCCTCACTGACTCTCTACTCCACCAAGCATGGTCTTCCCTAAGGGCTGGTTGCTCTTTTTAATTTGTCCTAAGTAAATGAAACTAAGTCTCACCATACTTTCTTCTAAGGAACATTGACTGTACTTCTTCCAAGATACAGTGGCTTGTTCTCTCGGCAGTCCATGGCAGATTCAATCTGCTTTGCCACCCACCATAATTCACAGGCATCCATCCTTCTTTGGCTTTCTTTGTTCATTGTCCAGCTTTCACACGCATATGAGGCCATTAAAAGTACCCTGGTTTGGGGTCGGCATGCCGCAGACTTCAAGGTGACGTCTTTGCTTTTCAGTATTATGACAAGGCCTTTTCCAGATTTGCCAAATGGAATAACACATCATTAGATTGCTGGACTCCTGCTTACCTGGGTGTTGTGGATCCACGTAAAGTGAAATCCTTGACAACTCCAATATTCTCTCCATTTAGCCTAATGTTGTTTACTGGCCCAGTTATGGGGAGTTTTTGTTTTTTGAGGTTCAGGTATAATCTATACTGAAAGCTGGAACAGTCTTTGATCTTCACTAGGAAGTACTTCAAGTCCTCTTCACTTTCAGTATATAAACACACACACACACACACACACACACACACACACACACACGAGGGGGCTTCAAAAGTTTGTGGAACAATAGAATTAAAAAGATAATTGTTCCACATGTATTTTGAAGTCCCCTCTAACACTAAATATAATATGTTTATTATTTGTTAAAATAGTTCAAACTTAAAATATTTTAAGAATTTGTAATATTTTTAAATAAGCATATATTTTAAAAATTGTTTCACTGAACTTTTTTTGAAGGTTTATACAGATTAGGTTCCTATTTAATAATTTCTGTGCATATTGTTCAGCAAGAGCAACATTAGTTATATTGCTCACAACATGTTAACATTCATATTTCTGTTTGGGTTAGTCCACTATCCTTATTATACCTGCTTCCCTGCCCTCTCGCCCCTCCCCGTCCCCCTCATACGCCACCATCCTCATCTGTGCTGTAGGCCAAATGTTGACCATCTAGACTCAAACAGATGTTTTGCTTTAGGAGCATTAATACTCATGGTGCTAGTGTTTATTTCATGAGTCTTATTTAGTGGAAAGGTAGCTTCAGTTCAAAGCTTAAAGGAGATGTCAGGGTAGTAATCTCCAGGGTTCCGCAGGTCTCTGCCAGTTCAGTAAATCTGTTCTTTTACAAACAAAAACCTTTGAGTTTTGTTCTACAATTATCTCCCATTTTATCTGGGACCACTTACTGCAATCTTGGTCAAATCCAATGGTAGTGATAGCTGGGCACTATCTAGGTCTTCTGGTCTCAGGATAGGTGATCCCATAGCTTATGTAGACAATTGGTCTTGTAGACTGGTTCTTTTTTGCTCCAGATGAGTAGAGACTAATAGTTGTATCTTAGATGGCCACTCCCAAGCTTTTTGGGACCCCAGGTGCTATACTTCCTAAGGACATAAACTTTATTAACTATGTTGAAACATGTATATATATATTTTTTTAACATTTTATTAGGGGCTCATACAACTGTTATCCCAATCCATACACACATCAATTGTGTAAAGCGCATTTGTACATCGTTTCTCAAAACATTTTCTCTCCATTTAAACCCCCGACATTAGGTCCTCATTTGTATATTTATGTTTATGTAGCTTATATAATATATATTCTGATATTGACTGATTTGATATATCTCTAATCAGGAGCCCTGAGGGTGTAGTGGTTATGAGTTGGGCTGCTAACTGCTAGGTCAGCAGTTTGAAACCACCAGCCACTCTGTGGGAGAAAGTTGGGGCTTTTTGCTCCCTATAAAGAGTTCAAGTCTCAGAAACTCAAAGGGGCAGTTCTATCCTGCCGTATAGAGTTGCTATGACTCAGCATCGACTCGATGGCAGTGAGTTTGGTTTGGTTTATAAAGGTAGTCACAGACTTATGACAGGGCTCCCTTCCAAGGGCTCTGTTGTAAGGCAGTTCTAAGTCTTATACATCTTTTTGTCTGTTTTCATTGTTACTGCCTGTTATTATCAGTATTTTTCTAACTTTGTCTTTGGGGATTGGAACCATTACATATAGACCTAGTTTTGATAGCATCAACGAATTACGTGCTACAACCTTTTATGTAGTACATATTATGAGCAATAAGATGTTTAAACAGAACAGAGTTGGTCTTAAGTATGGTTCATTGCGAGTCAGGGCCTACCTCTCTATATTTATTTTTATAGAGTATATATAAAACTATATATATTTATAATATGAAGTGACTACACATTAAACTGTGTATTGGTTGTGTGGATAAGTGTAGTATACAGATTATGAATTGAGCCAGAGCAAGTTACTAAATATTAATTAGCTGATGTAATATCTTTTTATATGTATATATTTATTATATAAAGTAAATGGGCATATATGTGCATATAAATGTGTGTGCATATATAATCAACTACTATTTAGTAACCTTCTCTTCTGTTCTGTCTCTGCACTATACTCAAGTACCCACGGTCACACATATACAATACCTAGTATTTTTAAATTTTTCGGTTTTATTGATGTATAATTTACTTATCTTACAACTCAATACTTTAAACATATTAAAGGAATTGTGTAATGATCAATGTTTTAGAACATTTTCTTCTTTCTTGTTATTTTTAGATCCTGGTTGTCCCCCAGTGTTCCCTGCCATAACCCCAAGAAACTATTATCCAGTTACTGTCTCTATAGATTTACCTCTCCTGGATTTCACATAAAGAAAAATATACAAAAACAAACAGGAAAAAACTGTTAATAAGAGAATAACCTCAGTTGAAAAGATTAAATAATAAAAACTAGATAAAATTGAAAATGGGTCAATAGGAGAACAAATGATAAGGTGTTAAAATTTTAACCTAAATACGTCTGCATTGCCTGCTTTCCAATACTCTGTCTGCTAGCAAGGGTACTCACATCCCTGTCAATGGTCAGAAGGAATTCACTGGAGACTTAATCCAAGGGTGGGCCTTAGAAATTGATTTTTGAATTCTCACAGCCATCCATAGCCTTCTGCAAACCTGATGCTCAGAATTTTAAAGTGCTAATACCATTCCCCATCCAGTTTTGGATTTTATTATTTATAAACATTGGATCACACAGGCTGTTGTGCTTCTTCCTTGCAGACTTAACTGTTACATCACTTGGATGGCTCCTTGTTTTACAACAAGACTTTAAGACCCCAGACAATATTCTTTCAGTTAGCAGGGAACCATCTTATTTTATCACCACACTTTACTCTAGCACCCCTATGAGGGCAAGTATCAGGTAGGGCCATGCCCTAAGAACTGATTGTTCTTAGACTAGGGCTGCGGTTTGGTGCTAGCTAAAAAATCCACTCTTTTTTTAAATATAGAAACAATTTATTTATTTAGCCTTGGGGCTCTGGGTGTTTTTGTCTCTGCTACCTGGCCTCCTCCCCGCATGGCTCCGGCTTTTGGGGCTCCTGCTGCGGCTGCGGCTGTGGCTGCAGCTCCTGCTGCGGCTACGGCTACGGCTGCAGCTACAGTCCCTTTTTCTGCCTCTCCTTCGGAAGCTGTGCTTATCCCGGCTTTTGGATCCACGTTGATGAGACTTGTTCCCCCGGTGCCGACTTCTTTTTCTCTCCGACTCCCTGTTTCCGTGGTAGGAATGGTCGGAGCTAGGGCTCCGTCTACCCCTTGACCTGCTGTAGTAGCTCTCGCGGTGGCCCAGCCTCTCTCTTCGATCCGAGCTCTTCCAAGAGGACGAGCTGGTCCTATCCAGGGACAGGTACATGTCTCTGTCAGCTTCCCAAAACTCATTGTTTGGATTTCGGAACACGTGGAGGAAATTGCAGTGTTTCCCTCGTGAGCACTTCTGGGTCTCAAATAAACCACAAATCGCCATTTGCCACTGGGTCACGGGGCAGAATTCACACCGCAGCTGTCGCCCGCCGTACCACCGTCCGTTAAACCGAGAAAGGGCTGCTCGGCAGTCTTCTTTCGACTGGTACTGGACGTACACGTTGCCCCTCAGGTGAGGTTCAAAGTTGCAGCTGACCTTGAACTGGACCACCTTCCCCACGTGCTTGAACTCGGGGAGCACGTCCTCGTAGAACTCCAGGAACTGCTGGTAGGTCTCCTCCTCGCTGTACTCCAGGCTGGCGTCGGGGTCATAGTCGTCCATTCGGCACTGGTCCATGCCAAACGTCGTGAACATGCTTCTCACCAGAAGGGTGGGGCTCGAGGCCGGGAGGGTGTGCTTCCGTGAACATCGGTCCCCAAATCGGCACGCTCCAGTTTTCCTGTAGAACGGACACGACGCGCGGTGCTTCTCCATCACTCTCCCGTCCGAGGGTGGCTCTGGGTTTTGCCACGGGGCGCCGTTTTCCAGCTCACTTTCGGCCCGATCCAGCATCTTCTGCACGGCGGCCTCGCGCGCGCGCTTTTCCCGCAGCCTCACCTCCTCCTCCTCTCGCTCTTTCTTCAGCTGCTCTTCCCTCTCCTCGTTTAGCGTCCGCTCGAGTGCTTCCCGCCGTCGTCTGGTGGCCTCCTCCTTTTCTCGCTTTCGTTGGAATTCTTCTTGGGCCTTCTGCTCTCTCCACAACCACTCCTCGTGTAACTGCTGCCTCTCGGTCTCCAACCGCTGGTCGCCCCCTGGCGGGCAGCCTTCCGAGACAGTCTCCTGGCCCTGCGCCTCCAGGCCCGAGTCCCTCAGCCGCGCCAGTTCCTGCCGGCGCGCCTTCCGCCTCTCTTTCTTCAGGGCGGCCCTGTGCTTCCGGTGGCTGGAACACAAGACGCAGACACCAGTCAGTGGCGGGTGGTCGGGAGGGAAGTCTTCCTGCCAGCGTGTTCAAGTCAGAGCGTGCAGCCACCGCCGAGTCTTTCCGCCCCGCCAGGGCCCCTCCTTACCTTCCTCTGCCCGCGGTCGCCCGTGACAGTTCAGGGCGCGCGCGCAGCAGCGGGGCTGGGCTCTCCAGACCTGCCATGATCTTCCGCGCCCGCTCGCCCGCTCGCCCCGCCCTCTGACGTCAGCGCCCCGACCCGCCCCTCTGACGTCAGCGCCCACTGGCTACCTCAGCCTCAGTTGCGGAGCACCTTGGTGCCGCTATGTTGAATGGCGCCCCTGAAAATTCCTTTCTTGTGTCTATCCTTTGATTAGGGAATAAAATTCCTTTCTTGTGTCTAACCTTTTATTGGGGAACATTTTACTGGGGATCATCCCCGGGGGCGGGGGGCATAAGACCTGTCTACTGATAGTATCATAAACTTAGCCAGTGTTAGAGAATTTCAAATAACACCTGGTATTTTTCTATTCCCAAACTGAGCTTACGTCAGCCTTCTTCATCCATACCAACTGGGTCCCCACCCCTCCGACCCCCCGCAAGGGCTCCTCCTATCCCAGCCCTTCTGGCCTCCCCCGTTGTTCCCCTGACTATGCGGTCTTAACACCGAGGACTGTAGGTGACATTTTTCTGTATGTGTATCCTCCTTCACCCCATCCTGCTCCCACCCTTACTATATTCGGAGAGACTGGAGGATTGGGACTTAGGAACATTTTTTATATTTCTGATGGCTGCTACTTCGCACAGTCTGTGAGCGCTGAGGTTTGTAGATCATTTAGGGAGGAGCACATATGATTTGAATTTCAGAATGGGTAACTCAGGTAAGCAATGAAAGAGGTTGGGGGGGCGGGGAGGATACTGCTGCTGTAGCTCGAATGATGCAATCTCATAGGATGCAGAGGGAGCCATCGGCTTTGGATAGGTAGGGGCCCTGAAAGGGAGGGTACAGAGATTGGTGTGAGCAAAGGTTTCTCTCCAAACCAACACTTCCACCCCGCCACATTTGCCCCACTGAGTGAAGGTGACAGAAGAGGCCATGTTGTTATTGACATGTTCCCTTGTCCCTGCCTTGCCTTGACCCACAGCCACTGTGCTCTGTCCCTCCTGTTCTGTAAACTTTTGTCTAGACTTTAACCGTCTCTTTGCAGTTCCCAGAGACCTACCCCCTTGGTGCTGTTTGCATGAACTTAGGACCTGCCACCTGCTCTGTCCTTTGTTCACAGTGCCCTTTGACTTTGTCCACAATACCCTTCCCATCCATCACTGCTCTGGTCTCTAATTTCTTGCTGGCCAGCGCCTTACTGGGTCCTCTGTGCTGGGGTGTGGTGTGACCAGGGCCGTATGACTGTAGCACACCAGCCCACATCCTTTGGGGAGGAAAAGAGGAGAGACTCAGGGAGTCTCACACTCCCAGAAAGGAGGAGTTGGGGTTTTATCCTGTGAGTGCCAGTGGGAGTGGGAAAGGGCAGAATCAGTAGTGCTGGTGGATGATGGCATGGCCTTGGGTGTGGGAGGGAAAGGCTGATTCACAGGCAAAGCCAAGGTTTCTAAGTGGTTGAGAGAAGAATGGAGCTATTGACAGAAATAAGGAAGTCAAAGGCGGAAACTGCTTTCTCGGGGAAAGTTGTTGATTTGACTGTGTCTGGGGGATGTGCGCTTAGGTGAGAATTCAGGGCCAGAGATACAGATTCAAGAACCCTTGTAGGTGGGGAGGCTGGGTGGGAAGAGAGTCTGTCAACTGATGGCCAAGGCCAGAGGAACCAACAAATGAGACAGTAGGAAAGGTGGGAGGAGAACGTGAAGCCTCCGGCATTTTGGAATCTAGGGAAAAGAACGTGGAAGGAAAAGGTAGAAGAAGCCTCAAGAGGTCGGGAGAAAGGACTGGCTAGAGGCCATTGACTTTGCCAGAAGTATTGGGGATTTTTGAGAATGTGTTTCCACCAGTAGTGAAGTGAGAGAAAAGTGATTGAGGAAACAAAAGCTGGGGGAAACGGGAGGGGAGGGGGCAGAAACTAGAAGAGAAAGCCAAACTGATTGGAGGACACACACACACACACACCACCCCCACATCCCCTAGATTGAGGTGGTACTTACATAGTGAGGAGGAAGAAGTTCGTGAAATGTCATTTGAGAGCCCAGGCTCCGCTGTGACCCGGGCTCAAGTATCAGCTTCTGTTTCCTCATTGTAAAATGGGGATGTTGTCAGCTACTATCAAGTCAGCCCAGTCTCATGGCCACACCACGCACACTGGGCTCAGACCGTGGGGATCCACCGTGTTCTCAGTGGCTGATTTCCAGGAGTGTAGCTACAAAGACTTCCCTCGGTTCATCTTCGTCTCAAAGTTCCCCCGAAACCTGTCAGCATCATAGCAATGCTCAAGCTTTCTCGTACAGAAGGGTGGCAACTGTGTATGAAGTGGGTAGGTCGGGAGTGGTACCACTGAACCCCCACCACCCTCAAAATGGGGATAATAGTACCTATTCTGTAGTGTTTGTATGAGGATAAAAGAAGACATGCGCGATGATTTACAGGATATCTCCCATGGATAAGAGTCAGTAAACATAACTATTATTGTGGCTCTATTATTAGTTCCTATCAGTTGTAAACATGGCAGAAATGAGAGGTAAACTGAGGCACAAGGACAAACAGAAAAAGTTAAGAGGCTGTAACAGCTCTTTATTAGAAAAGAAGCTCCCGGATGAGGTTCCGTGGTCTAGCAAGTAGCCCAGGGAAGCCGTGCCCAGTGAGGAGAGTGGTGGGTTTTTGAAGGAGGGACCGAGGAGGGTCCCATTGAGAAGGGGTTGGGGCTGTAGCTGCTGGGGATTTTCCACTGCTATCATGTTTTGCCTGAGTCTGATTGTCCAGCCATTGCAAGTGGGGAGGAAAGACAGTTATTCTTGGAGCCAGTTCTAAGAATTGTCCATCAGCTTTGTTTCCTGGTACATACAGGGAGAAGGGTTGAGGCCCTGACAGCCTGTCCCTGACCCAACAAGAAGGTCACATTGTACCCAAAGGTTCTACAACTATAGATGAACATCAGCAAGACTCAATGGTTAAGTAGACAGAGGATACTACTAGAAAATTTCCACAAGAGGAAATACAAGTCCGAGGGGTACCCAAGAAAAACTGGATTTTTTTCAAAGCTATGTATTTAAATTTTTTTAACAAAACAACCTATCACCTCAAAGCACTGCATCGCACTTAATACATTTGTCAAATCTGCGATTCCATTCTTGGAAATATTTTTCAAACAACTGTTTGGATGGCTGTCAGCACCTCCCTCATTTTTTTCTTCACCTCTTCTATGCTGTCAAATCGCTGTCCTTTCATGCCCTTCTTCATTCAAGGAAACAAAAAGAAGGTCAGGTGAGTAAGGTGTGTGGGGCAAGAGAGGCATGCTGTATTTTGCCAAAAACTGGCACCCTGAGATACTGCATGAGCAGTGCATTGTCATGGTGGCAAAGCCACAGGTGTGTACACACCTGTGCCTACTTCTACACAACAGGGACTTGTGACACATACACATTTTTAAAAAGCATTGTTATGTTGTGGCCAAATAGGGTGCCTTATATTTTTTGGTGGCATCATTACTTTGGTCAAACTGTCCTCATTGTACCCACATTTGGTGCTACTCTTCCCATCACCAAAAGTAACAAGTATCGATGTGATTGAACTATTGAATTGTATGATGTATGAATTAGATGCTAAAAGTGTTGGGGGAAAAGCAAAGCCAAATTTTGAAGCAGACAAAAAAAAACAGAATAAGAGCAAAAGAAAAAAATCTTCCTTAGACTTTTAAACCTTCATTCTTTTTTGTCCAAAAAATATGGATTCAAATATGTAAATACCCACAGAAAGAAAAAAATGAACTAGTAAACCTGACAATAAACTATCAAAAAGCAAAGGCCACAAAAACATGTTTTTATCAACAAGTAAGAACTCATTGAATTTTTTCCTATGAATTTTCAGAAGCATTAATATACTAACTTCAAACAACTAAATTCGTTACAAAGAAATCCTTTATGGTTAACAAGAAATACACACACTGAACAAGTTAGCATAAGTGTCACTTGTAAAGAAAAGCATATAGTATTTATTATCATTACTGTTGGATACGGTAGTTGTAGAAATTCATGGTGTGGGGTTACCAGGCAGGCTGATTGAGTTGATATTTCATTCGGAGCAAGTATACTTGTATACTACTCTGCTCCGTTAACACACTAGAGCTGAACAGTTATAGATATGAACAGAGAGAGACGAGCGATCCTGGAATAGGACAGGCAAGGGAGCATGAATATTTTAGATAATAAGAAAAAGAATCAAAAAGATACTTTCAAATAAAAAATGAGTATCATGATAGTGAAGCATTAAAACCAACAAGCAAAATGATTAGCATCCTTCTAATAGAATAGATATAGCTATTATTCTGAAAAAATTATGCGTAATATATAAATAGGGATTTAAGAATGAAGACAATAAAAATCACAAGTATCTATGATCTAGAGCAGTGGTTCTCAACTTTCCTAATGCCACGACCCTGTAATACAGGTTCCCCATTATTGTGGTGACACCCCCAACCATAAAATTATGTGAGTTGCTACTTCATAAATGTAATTTTGCTACTGTTAGGAATCAGGCAACCCCTGTAAAAGGGTTGTTTGACCCCCAAAGGGGTCTCGACCCACAGGTTGAGAACCGCTGATCTAGAGTATATGCATACTGGTTCTTAAAGGCTACTACTCAGAAGTGACATATTGTTATTTCCCTTTCACCTTTCACTGGTTAAAGCATGCCCCGTGCTTCAGAAGAAGTGTACAGACTTAACCTCAAGTCTAGAAAGGGCCGGGTATGTGTTCATGAATTTCCTAGGCTTGCCATAACAAAGCACCTTAATCTGGGTGACTTAACACAGCACACCTTTATTCTTTCACCACCTGGAGGCTAGAAGTCCAAGGTGTTGGCAGGCCAGGCTCTCTGAAGGTTCTAGGCCAGGCTCCTGCTCCCCTTTTCTAGCCCCACGCATTCCTTGGCTGTGGTGGCATCTTTTCCAAAAAGACATAACTGTCTTTCCTCTGTCCCTGGGTCTCTTCTTAAAAGGATGTTACTTGTGCTGGATTATTTAACTAAACAATCCATCTGCGAGGT